GCTTTGGACTTAAATTCTGCCAGTGCCTTTGTATTCAACTCTAGTTGAATGAGGAGCCTGGGATCTGTGATTGCATGGGGTTAGACTGTCTTGAATTTGAACTTCAGCATGACTGCTTTTGTTGCATGACCTTGGGTTAGTGATTGATCCTCCTTGAGCCTCAGCTTCCACATCTGTGAAGTGGGTATGCAGTATCATCTTATAGAGTTAGTATAATAGCCATGCACAGTTAATTAATTTGAGCAGTACAGGATAAGCATCTTAGCATCACTCCTCCTAACGATTCTGTGAGGGTACTTTTATCATTGGGCTTGCCTGGTGTCTCAGTGGTAGATAATCCGCCTGCTAATGCAGGAGACTCAGGTTCGATCCCTGGGTTGGAAAGATCCCCTGGAGAAGGAAATGACAACCCACTCCAGCATTCTCTCCTGGGAAATCCTATGAACAGGGGAGCCTGGCGGGCTATAGTTCATGGAGTTGTAAAGAGTCAAACATGACTTAGTGACTGAACACAGACACATTTCTATCATTTCCATGTTATGAATGAACAGGTTGAGACTTAGAGAAGTTAACTCACTTGCTCATGGTGTACAGCCACTACATGGCAGTGCAGGACTCAACCTGTGTAAGAACTGTGACTGTCAGTCCAAGCCCCAACCACAGAAATAAAGGACAATAATGTTTCCCTCCCCTTTTCAGTATTCTTGCCTGGGAAATCCCATGGACAGAGGAGCCTGGCGGACTACCGTCCATGGGGTCACAAAGAGTCAGACACGACTGAGAGACTGACTTTTCACTTTCAATTTCCTCCTTTCAACATATATCGACATGACGATCTAGAGCATTCTGTCTGCTTAGAGTGTTTGTATTAACTACAGTGAATATACAAAACATAAATCATACAAGTCAGGCTGAGAATTTATTTCATCTTGGTATAAACTCAGAAAATGCCTTTTGACACCATCTGTTCATTGATGTCATTCAGCCAATACTAATAGAGCACCTACTGTGTGCCAGATAGTGTGTTGGGGCTGGCCATGGTCCCGGCGTCACAGCTGACAGTTCTGTGGGGAGACAGGAGGCATCATCATGAGCAGAGTGTGTGTCCTAATGAGGAGTGTTACAGATGTGGTAGCAGCAGATGGGAAAGGGATCACAAAAAGCCTCAGAGGGGAAGTAATGCAGTGAGCCTGGAAGACACAGTTTGCAGGTCATCATGGGGCGAGAGTGCAGCCTGTGCACCGGCAGAGGGTGGGTGCTGAGGCAAGCCGGAGATGGAGCTCTGCTGAGGATCAGCTGCAGTGGCGTTGGGGGTAAAGACAAGAAGACGGGAAGCAGGGCTTCCCTGGTGGATCAGTGGTAAAGAATCCTTCAGCCAGTCAGGAGACTCCGGTTCGATCTCTGGCCTGGGAAGGTCCCACATTCCACAGAGCAACCAAGCCCCAGTGCCACAACTATTGAGCTTGTGCTCTAGTGCCTGGGAGCCGCAACTACTGAAGCCCGTGTGCCCTAGAGCCTGTGCTCCGCAAGAGAAGCCACTGCAATGAGAAACTCTCATACCACAACTAGAGAGCAGCGTCCGCTCACCACAGCTAGAGAAAGCTTGCAAAGCAATGAAGACCCAGCACAGTCAAAAATATAAAACAAACAAAAAGAAAGAAAGAAAGAGGAACCAGATCTTGAAGGGTTTATCTGTTGGAGTTAAGTTTGCCTTTGATCCTCGATGCAGTGGAGAGCTGTGGTAGACTTTGGGGCTGGGGTGTGTCATTATCAAGTTCACGGTTTGGTAAGAACTCCTGGCTGCTCATTCACGTGGCTCAGGTGGTAAAGAATCCATTTGCAAGGCAGGAGACCGAGGTTTGATCCCTGGGTCAGGAAGATCCCCTGGAGAAGGGAATGGCAACCCACTCCAGTATTCTTGCCTGGAAAATTCCATGGACTAAGGAGCTTGGCGGGCTGTAGTTCATAGGGTCGCAAAGGGTTGGACATGACTGAGCAAATAACACTTTTATTTCACTTTTCTGGCCACTCACTGGAGACCCAACAGACAGGGAAAGACCAGAGGGAGAGAGACCGAGATGGCTGCTATCACAGAGTCCTGGTTGTTGCTGGTGGATGTCTGGATTGGAGCAGGTTGATGGTGGTGGAGAGAAAGTGATGGAGCTATTGGGACTTGTTGACTGAGTCGATGTGAGGTGTGGGGGAGTAGAACTCTACAGTGACTCTCTGCTTTCTAACTTGGGTGACTAGTGGATTGCGGTGTCATCCACTGGGAAGGAGAATGTAGGAGGAGAAACAGATGGTGGGATCGGTGGAGAGGAGTCCTCCTCTTTAGGACGAGGTGTGTCTGGAGGGCTGTGGGACGTCCAGGTGGAGATTTCAGGAGGCAGCCATCTCAGTACAGGTGTTCTGGGCTTGAGATTCTGATTTAGAAGCCACACCATGCCAGTGGTAATAACTCATGGGTGGAGGTGGAACTCCCTAGGGATGATGTTAGTGGGAAGAGGGGCTGGATGCTCTATTGTTAGAAAAAAATTTTATCCTTAAATTATGAAAATATTTTCAGTTGATAAAGGCTATGCCATTAAGTTCAAAGATCAGATTCATATAAATTGAAAATAAGACCTCAAATTTCCTTGTGTTTTTGAATCAAGAATCCAGAAGCTTCATGATCTGCTCTCATACGCAAACAGGTACATGCCAGAAGGCTACCCAGCGGAGTCTGAATCCTGGCTAGCCCTGGCTTTCCCTAGTAACAGTTGTGTTACCTTGAACTAGGCACCTTTCTTGAGCTCAGCTTTCTTGTCAGTAACAGAGCTTGTTCTGTGATTAAATAAGATAAAGATTATGGAAAAAATTTTGCAAACACTTGTGCTTTACCAACTTGTGTCAAGATGGTGCTTTTTATTCCTGTAAGGCTTTGGGGGAGATTATTTCTCATCACTTTGCCCAAGAGCAGCTGAGGACCTGAGCCATTGTCCTTACATGTGGTCTCCAGGATCAGCCAGCCTTTGGGGTCATGAATAATGGCCGTCAGGCCTTCATGGATTGAGTGTAGTTCTGTCATCAAATAAAATTTATGCAGGCTAATCTGACACCTATTTAGCGGTCTGCATAATAATTATTGTGCAGTGGGCTGACCAGGCATAAATGGAAGGCATTTGACAGAAACGATTATATTTAGTATTACTTTTATATAGCCTAGCAAGATTTTTATGGTTCTTCCATCTTTGACAGCCTATTCATTTTCCACTCGATGTGAATTTATTGAGGCTGTAATATATGCCAGGCACAGTTCTGGGCCCTGAGATGACAGAGAAACAGGATTTCTGTTCCAGCCCCACCTCCACTGAGCTTGAATTCTAGTGGGGAGACAGTCACTCAATAGTCAACCTTACCCACAATGAGTAAGAATGCCAAGCTTCCCTTGAGATTATGGTTGCTTTCATCTCTTCCTGCACTAACACCCATGAATTAATATTTAATTAAGTTCATTTATTTGGCTACATCATTATTTGGTCTTAGCTGTGTCATGTGGAATCTAGTTCCCCAACCAGGAATTGAACCCGAGCCCCCTGCATTTGTTGTTCAGGCGCTGAGTTGTGTCCAACTCTTTGTGACCCCCATGGACTGCAGCACACCAGGCTTCCTTGTCCTTCACATCTCCTGGAGCTTGCTCAACCTCATGTCCATTGAGTCGGTGATGCCATCCAAACATCTCATCTTCTGTCATCCCCTTCTCCTCCTGCCTGCAAACTTTCCCAGCATCAAGGTCTTTCCTAATGACTCAGCTCTTCACATCAGGTGGCCAAAGTATTGGAACTTCAGCTTCAGCATCAGTCCTTCCAATGAATATTCCGGATTGATTTCCTTTAGGATTGACTGGTTGGATCTCCTTGCAGTCCATGGGACTCTCGAGTCTTCTCCAGCACCACAGTTCTTCAGCACTCAGTCTTCTTTATGGTCCAACTCGGGCCCCCTGCATTATGAGTGCAGAACCTTAGCCAATAGAGCACCAGGAAAGTCCCAACACCAGTGAATTAAAAGACAAAGATTCTGAGCCTGATTTGCCAACAGCAAAGTTGTCTTTGCTGCAATATTTATCCTTTATTTCCCTCTGTCTCCTTATATCAGGCAGTGGCTTGAGACCTTCCATCCACTGAACAAATATGTCCTGTGCACCTATTGGTATAAGTAGCCTCGAGGGATACAGTAGTAAACTGGGGGTGGTCTGGCCCTGGAGAAGCCCACACTGAGCCCAGGTGTAGACACACAGAGATGGGGCAATAGAGGAAAACGTGTTTCCATCAGAGCCACTAGAGGCTGCTGGGAGGGGATAGAGAGGCACCCGATTCTGGCACCTGGCAAGGTGAGGGAAGGGGACCACACTCCAGGCAGAGGGGAGGAGTTGTGTGCAGGAACATGCGAGGTGCTGGGTCAGGCTGCAACATGAGCTGCAGTACGAAGCGGGGATGTCATGAAACAAAACCTTTACCAAGTGTGCTCCAAAACTTTCGGATATAGTTTTTAGTGAAATGTTTGTTCTAGTCTTTTGCCTATATTGGAGAAGGAAATGGCAACCCCCTCCAGTATTCTTGTCTAGAGAATCCTGTGGACAGAGGAGCCTGGTGGGCAGCCGTCTATGGGGTCACACAGAGTCGGACACGACTGAGCAATTTCACTTTTCACTATGAATCATTTGGTCACAGTCACACTGCCTGCCTCTGGTTTGATGGGGGTGAAGGTGGAGGATGGCTTTAGAACCTGAGGCCTCTGTGAGCCTGGGCAGAGGCGGGAAGGCAAAGGCCTGGAGTCGGCCTGGAGCTCCCCCCCGCACCAGGCACAGGGGTTCGGGGAGGGAGCGTCGGTCCTCCTCACTGAGGCTGTCCACGCGGGGAGGCCGCTGGCTCCCAGCACGGGGACTCACGCACTTCTCCCCCTCCCCTGCAGAGTTATGTCATGCCCAGACCAGCGGAGGGCTCCATGAGGATTTATAGAAGATGCCCCGCGTCTGGGCGCCTTTGGTGCTGCTTCCTGCGTGGCTCGTGATGGTCGCCTGCAGTCCGCACTCCCTGAGGATCGGTAAGCGCTGCCCCTGTGGCACCCTGGGGGTAGCCCAGCCCTGGCGATGCCCCTCCCACACCCCAGGTGTCCGCCGGGCACATCTGACCCTGCACTGCCCTCCTGAGTTTGGCTGGGGCAGGGGTGGCGGTGTTGGGGCAGCCGACAGGCCCACAGCAATGATCTGCTCAAGCTGCCCGGCTCCTCTTGTGATGAAACTAAAGATTCTGATAAGTGTCTCTTGCAGCCTGTGACGGACTCAGGATGGGAATGGTTGGGGGGCTTCCAAATCTAGGGCTAGAGAGCAGAGCACAGCTCATCTCTTCTGTCCTCTGACCAATCCCAGAAGTCTTCCTGAAGGCTGTGTTCAGATGAAGTATTCTTGGTGCCCCTGACCTGGCTGCTTGGCAGGGCCTTGGTGTCTGCTTGCCCTAGCCTGGTTCTGGGAAGGAACAACGGGCCACTTCAGGGTCATATGTCCACCTGCTGTGTCCCTTGTCCTTGCTGCCATGGGGATGCTCCTTCTAGCTGAAGGCAGACACTGCTATTGCTGGCCCATCAGCACCCCTGTGCCTGGCAGAAGGCTTGGCTCTTTCCAGGGTTCAGAAATGCCTGAGAAATCAACTGCCTCCCCTACCCCTCAACACCTCCAAGACTGAGCAAAGCTGCTTAACTGCAGGCATTGCTGTTATGCAATGGAGCACTGGTGATCGGGTATTGGGAGCATGGCTCCAGGTGCAGAGACAGATAGTCCCGTCCAGTAGACACTGTGTGGTCAGCTGCTGTCCTGGGACAGAGGTGGAATGTTGGGGACTGGGGTGTCTACTTGTATATGGGGAAGGCAGTCAGTGTGGACAGGCAGTTGGGGCACAGCAGTGAGGAATCCAGACAGGTGTGTTGGTCACAAGAAGACCAGTCCAACAGCAGGACCCCTGGGCAAGGCCAGGCAACAGCTTAGAAGTACCTAAACCCCAGGTAGGTTATCTAGGTAGGTGCCCACCTGAGACCTCTCTGTCTAGACTAGGGTGGGGATGGCAAAAGTGGATACTGTGCACAAGGCAGGATCTGAGATCCTAGACTTGAACCTGAAAGGGTTAGAGGCTGTTTTAGAATGAAGACCATGGTATGGAATCCCAGGGACTTGGCCTAAAGCTCCTGAACTCCTCTACTGGCAGTTAGGACTGGTTCTAAGGCCCCAGAGGTTGGCATGACAGTGGTGATGGGTGGTCAGGCCCTGGCCAGGTCAGGCATCACAGGTCAGCGCCTAAGTTGGAGGCCCCCGAGTTGCTCCGTGCTGTGTCGTGGGCACACAGGCCTATTTCTCCATGCATATGCCAGAGACAGCTAATTGGAATCAGAAATGAGGACCAGTGACTCAGTCCTTCCCCTCATCCTGCCCTTGGCTCACCACCCTGCATACTTGAAAAAAGGAATTAAAAACAAACCCTTTCCTCCCTCTTCCCCATTCACTTCTACTGAAACTTCAAAACCTAATTTAATTCTGCTTAGCAGCAATGCAAAACGGTTCATATCCTTAAGATGCTTAATTTATAAGATGCCTCCAGTTATTCATATTTGCTGTGAGGTTTTCTTGTCCTCTAAATGAGTGGATGAAGCGGTAACCCATCAATTTCCATTTGTCGCTAATGGGAAGCGGAAAGAGACTGAGCCAGAATCAGTATTGCCTCGTGGCCTCGGCTCTCCTGACACTTGTTCCCTCGGAGGAAAAGCAGGAAGTGGAGCTGACAGATCCCTGTCTGGCCTGCTGTGCAACGGGGGGGCGGGGCGCTTCCAAGGGACCCCTGTGCTCCATCCCCACACTTGGAATGATGCTTGTCCGGTTCCGTCCGCTCTGCTGGTGCTGGTTGTGGCTCATACCAGGCCACGTCCAGCTGATTTCCAGCCACGGGCCCTGCTGGTGGACAAGGTCAAACCGAGCCTGGTCTCCTGCAGAGTGCAGGAAGCTGAGTGAAGTCAACAAAGAGAGAGAAAAGTAAAGAAAAACCAAAACAGCAGTGCCCGGGCTTGTTTTGCTGTCTCCTTGGTTATCCTGGGAGCCAGGAGCTTTATGGATGAAAAGGTGCTAATTACTCGAACTCCGGAGGGGATCTGGAGTAGGGCAGGGATGAGGAGAGAAGTAGGTCAGGATAACACAAGTAGCTGTGCTGAGCAGGAGGCAGCCTTCCACACCGATGGGCTGGACCAGCATTGATGGCGCTGGTCCCCCAAGTCCTCCAGAGCCTCTTGGAAAAATGGAGGGGCTGCTGCTCCTTTCCCTTTCCCAGGGGTCACTTCTCCCTACATTTGATTCTTTTGGAGTTCCTCCCAAACCCCCAGCCTCAATGTAGATGGCTGTGAGAGCGAGACTCCACGAAGGCACCAGGGATCTCGGAGATAAATGGTCCCGCCTGCTCCATCTCCAGCCCCGCTTGACGGCTGGTGACAATATGGATGCTTGTAAAGAGGCGCCGAGCCCATTACCCTGCCTTGGGACTGCTGTTTTTCATTCAAGTGAGGCACGGGGCGGGAGGTACAGCCAAATTGTCTATTACAGGGTCCGGTGTTTACCCCCCCACCCAATGAGGTTTTGGGTAAGAGAAAGGGATTTTATTTATGATGGTGAAGCTGCCCGCATAAATTCCCCAAACTCTCACACATCTGTCAGCCTGCTTCAGTCATCTGTCTTCTGGAAATGTCTTTTGATTTTGCTTCTGTCCCTCTGGGTCCTCTGAGTGATGACTGTGGGAGCCACAAGTTAATAAATGCCCTGAGAAGACCTCCCCTCCCCATCTCTAGAGCCCTCCGTTACTTAAAGGGATCATCATTATATCTTAAAGCCACAAAGGATGCTGCAGATCCCATTTTCCAACCTGTTCATCTCTCAGGTGGGGAGGGGGACCCACAGGGGTGGTGGTTTGGCCAGGGCCACAGGGTGCATGCGGGTGGGCTGGTGGCAGTCAGTCCTGGGGCCTGGTCTCCTTGACTCCTCTTGCAGTGCTCCCTCTGTTGCCCCCCGGTGGGCTCCCTAAGCCACTGGGGAAGCAGGATCATCTTCAAGAGTAGGTGGGGGTCGTTGTCTCTTACAGTTTCCTCCCATCCCGTTTCTGATATTAGCGAATCTTGCCCCCAAACGCATTAGGACCTCAGTATTTGTCAGATGAATGAATGTGAGGCTTTCCAGCTAGCCTTCTGTTACTCCTTCCCTGGTCACTTATTTTAGCCACACAACTGCTCACTGTTAAGTGACTATGCCATATACTAGGGAGGTTTACTCTGGGCTTTTTCTCATCCCTCTTCTGGGACTGAAGAGCTCTTCCTTGCATTCCATTTTCTCTGCCTGTAAATAAAAGCAACTTCTCCTGCTTCTCCTCTCCCCTCCCCCCGCCTCCCCCCCACCTTTTGCATCACCAGTATCATTGGTATAAATAGCCCTTCCTCCGCAGACTTGTTTCCCAATATTTTCCTGTCCCTCCTAGGGTCAGATCATCTTTGCCCAACCATTCTCCCATTCCCCTGTTCCATCATTCAGTGGGTTGTGCTCTGATTAGTGTGGCATTTTCCCACCAGATTTTGGCTTCCAAGGGGGATGAACCACATGACCCAGGCCCTCACACTTGATGTATGCGAGTGGGTCACATAAACTCAGTGGAGGGGTGGGTGGATGAGTCTATGATCCTTGCAAGACGTTCCCTCAAAACGTGCTCCGTATCATTGTTTTAAAGTTTCTTCCAGTCTTTGTTGTTGCTATTCAGTCGCTAAGTCGTGTCCAACTCTTCACGACCCCATGAACTGTAGCGCTCCAGGCTTCCCTGTCTTTCATTATCCCCCTGAGATTGTCCACTGAGTCGGTGATGCCATCCAACCATCTCATCCTCTGTTGTCCCCTTCTCCTCTTGTCCTCAATCTTTCCCAGCATCAGGGTCTTTTCCAATGAGTCAGCTTTTCCCTGTGCTTAAAGAGGTAGACTTATTGGAGGAAGTAGAAGAAAAAGGAGAAGGAGGAGAAAAAGAAAATGTCCATCTATCTGTCTTACTTAAAAGAGAGAAGAGGAATGGACTGGAGATCCTGATTGAATTCTAAGGCAAGTATTAGCTGTAATGGTAAAAACAGGGGTTCACCTATTCATTCATGAATCCACTCAGCAAGTACTTATTGATTGCTGTGTGCCAAGGACTGAGGATATGGTGCTAAATAATAATAATCCCCATAATAATTCCCACTTGAGAAGACCTCACTTTCTTCCAGGTACTGTGCTAGGTGTTTCACATATTTCAGGCAATCTTCACGTCAGAATTAATGATCCAATGTTATAGATGAAGAAACGAGGCTCAGGGAGCTTAAATAACTTGTCTAAGGTCACACAGAGACTGAGATTCAAACCTGTCTGTCTCCAAAGCTTCCCTTTCCGCTTTGCTCTGCTGCAGCTCTACAACCCTGGAGACGTTTGGGATGTCCCATGAATATCACAGCAGTCACATGAAATATATTGTGTTCTATCTGGTAAAGGGATTGAAAGATGGAATCATTATTGCTTTTATAGGCTCTCACTCTTTTTTTGTTTTTAACTCCCAAATAATTTCCTAAGGGCCCAGACAGAGTCCATCGGGCAGATGAGGAAACTCAGGCCTGGGGATCTGAGAGGCTGGATCAGGGTGGTACAGAGTTCTGCTCCGTGTGGGTGGTGCTAGACATCAGCAGGTTATGGTAGCAGTTGAATCTCTTGTTTAAGGTTTCCCTGCGAGGTAAAGCAGCAAGAGCTTGTATTTATTCGACACTCTGTCTTACTAGGACCCCAAGCACTTTACAACTCCCATTTTTCACTGAGTTGGTTTCCCTCAATGAGCTCCAAGTCCTGCAGAGAGAATGTTTAACATAGAACATTCAAATGTTATGAAGATGAAGATAATAAGAGAATTGGGGGAGGTAAGCAGGGGGAATAAAACACACCGGTTTTCTTATCCTGTTCTGCTGTGTGTTAAATATATCGGACACACCAAGATCCAAATATACCAGTGGAATTC